TATATCACTAGAAGGAAAATTATCCCATAAATTTGCATCTGTATTTCTGTTATTTATGGGTCCTGGGACCTGCAGATAAGACAATTTTAGTTTCTAAAATAGTTTCACTTTCCACGCGATTTTTTTTTTAAACGACAGTAGGTAATGGGTGCAGAATTGGAGACAAATTTTGTTATACTTGTATTGATACAAGTAATTTCAGTAGTTAGTACTAGCAATCCTTGTACAATGATTTGCACCTGGTACAATTGAGCGTTCAACACAAGTCTTTTCTGATTCATTATATTATAAAAAAGGAAGTTAGTTTGAGAGTTGTATTTACAAACTCACAAATTCTATTGTTTATCTTCTGTGAGCTTTTGTGTTTGTGTTCCATTTCGTGGCCGTTTCATTGTGTTGGATATAAAACTATGTAACTTTAAAATGTTTGTTGTACTGTAGCAAATATATTTGAATAATTAGAAATAAATAAAATCTCTAAAATTAAATTCATATTATGATTTGAATATTAACCATAATTTGCATTTGAAAATTCATAAGTTAAAGAATGTATGTGAAACATTGCCATTTTGTTCCTTAAGCTTGAGAGAGACCAAATAAATAGTACTTACAAGGCAGTTGGAGATTATTTAATTTGCTTGCTCTGCAATGTTTGTTGGCAGTCCCCTCCCATTAAGTACTGTATCAAGGCACATGGTTTTCCTCTTGATATAATACTTAAAAATGTGCGCACCCACTTTCCGCCCTCTGATGGTGCGTCTTCACAGTTCATTGGAACCACCACTGATACCTGCTGGGAGACACATACGGGAATATGCCCAATGCGAAGGTGGGATTTGTTTTTTTGTGCAGGACAAGAACAGATACATCATCAGACATGTGATTGTAGTACCTCTACATGTTCTCATGTGATTTATCAGAAAGAAGTCACATTTAAGCTGAAGCTAAGGATGAATTGGAGTGAGCCAGGTGAGGAGTGGGGTATAAGGCGTTCTGAGTTGGTAGAACTGCATATGCCAAAGCTGAGATGACAGGTGAGGGTGGTGGAGGAAGAAGGGCAGTGCAGGAAATGAAGCTGGAGGGAGAGCAGAACTTGGTCAGACAGGACCCCTTAGGCCATGGTAGGATTCTGAGTCGGATCCGAAGTGGAATGGAAATTCATTAAAGACGCACACTAATGATTAGCACTGGTTATTGTTTTCTAATAGTTCATACTCATTACTCATATACACATTTAACACTTTATTTGATCTTTTGCTCTTTATTTCTTCTTGCTTATCAGGGTTTCAAACATCTGGGATCACTTTCTTCTGCCTGAAGTCCATCCTTTGAACTTCTTTCAGTGATGGCTTTCTGGTCATACACTTTCTAAGCTTTTGTGTGAAAGTTTATGTATTGTCCTCCCCCCTCCCTGCCTTTTTTTTTTTTTTTTGCAGCAAATTGGCAAGGGGAGGAGAGAGTATAATTTATAAACAGTAAAATTCACAGATCCTAAATGTACAATCTAATGATTTTCAACAACCTAATTAAGAAGTAAAATATTTCCGTCACTCTAAAGAGACTGCTCCTTGGGCCTCCTTCAAGTCTACCTTCTCTTCTTCCTGTGCACATACTCTTTACAGGTCCTCTTAGTTTTGCTTGGAAACTTCATAGCAACGGAATTCTCCTGTACAGGAGAGGCTGTTTTAGCTGGTACAGCACAACAATTGCATGTACTGCTACTTCTTTCTGTTGTATGGCTGTGTACCAAGGATAAAATAAGCCACAGCAGTTTAGCCATTTTCCTTTTGATGGACCTGGATTGTTCTCAGTTTTTGACTGTTGTGCTTAAACCTGCTATGAACATTCATGTGCACATCCTCTTTGTGGAAACATAGTTCTTATTCTCGTTTGTGAATATGTAGAAACCGAATCTTAGAATCATCATAAAGTAGTGTGTTTAACTCTCTAGGAAACTCACAACTGATTTTTCAAAGTGCTTGTACCATTTTACACTTCCACCAAGGATGTGTGACAGCTCTAGTTGTTCTACAGTATGGCCAACATTTGAAGTTTCCACAAAAGTTCTCCTTCGTCCCGTATTTTTCAGTCTTCCAGTTGACGTCTATCGTATAGGCAACCAAAGTTACCAGTTTCATGTCTGTCCGTCCAAAGATATGTCATGATAAATCGATAGCACGAGCACTCAGGAAAGACCAGTTCCTGGAGAAGGATGTCATGCGGGGTTAAGTGGAGGGACAGCGAAGAGGAAGGCCCTCCACACGATGAACTGCCATGGTGGCCGCAACAATGGCTCAGACCTGTGGACAGTCGTGCGGATGGCGCAGGATCGGCAGTGCCCTGTTCTGTTGTACACAGGTTACTCTGAGCCCGAACCAACTGGATGGCCCCTAGCACCAACAGCATCACCTTGAAAGGCAGCCTTAAGTTGTGCAATGAGCTGACCTTTCCGAGAAATGACAGTGAACTGATTAAATAAGGTTTTAAGTATTTTAAATGTGTATTTTAAATAAGTATTTTAAATGTGCAGTGTTCTAATACCTGCGTTAAGGACAGCATTTGTCTCCCCTTGTCCACCTCCATACCCTGTACCTGTGGGTCTCAAACCAGAATGTTCATCAGAAACACTCAGGGGGAGTTGTTAAAACAAACAGCTGTCCGCACCCCGGAGTCAGCATTGGTAGCTGTGGCATGGAGCATGATAATGAGCATTTCTAACAAACTCCTGTGGTACTACTGGTGCAGGAATACACTTTGAGAACTGCTCTATGCTAAATCCAGGGATTCCAAATAG